CTGGTCTGGTAACTTAAACTTAAATTATTGCTGTATTTTTTTTTTTTTTTTCTTCTCATTTGTTTATCGCACCATTTTCTGTTGTTTTTTTTTTTTTTCCTTCTTTAGAGGATTTGGGACAACGGGGTGAGGTGGCTGAGGGGTTTAATGTGTGCATTTACTGAATCTGTGATTTGTATATGTTTAATTTGAAATGCCAATAAACAGATTTTTCAAAAAAAAAAAAGAAATATCCATCCATTATATCTATTATCCATTCATACTGTAAATCAGATTTTTTTAATACCAACTTTATATTTTTGCATGTGTGGGGGAAAACACATGCATGTACACACACACAGGTACAAGCATATGCATGCACTACACATAGCTACAGTGGCATTTATGACTTGCCAGACTACCATTTTTAAACACAGCTATCCTTTGCATTTAATTTGCATAATTCTAATTAAATGCTCGCTCAGAAGCACCCAATCAGGATGTCAAGTAGAAAGTAGGAGGAAACAAATTCTTTTATATGTTAATCTGCTTTACACAACATTGTCTAGCCTGCCAGGGAAATGAATATTTCACATGTTAAACTACAGAGAGGTTCTTATTTGCATCAGTGCGCAGAAATAAATGTGTTATTTCCATCATTTTAAATTAGCTCTGCTTTTGGCTGCTATTAAGCATTTTTCACCCTGCAGATGCATTTTGGTTCTGTCCAAGCAAACCCTGATAACATTTCACAGTTCCTTGTTGTAAAAACTGACCAGGACATTTTAGTTTGTTCCAGTTTTTTATTAATATATTTTGGTTAGACAAGCAAGTGAAAGGTTTAATTTCCACACTTGAACACCTCAGAGATGCTTGAGGTTTCAGAAAATGTAATTCATAAATCTGTTTGTCACCTTCACATTGAAAAGGCAGAGCTTTTTTCTGTCTTCTGCCTCTCGCAGCTGGACACATTCAGAAGGTAGATGAAGCGCTAATTGATTTCTCCTGCTGACTTGAGTGCACTGATAATCAGCACAGGAAGGAAGCAAATTGATTCGCCAAGCTGATTCAAAAAGAAGATACCCAACAATTGAAATCCATTACATTTTCACAAGTCATCAACACCAAAGTCACTGTGGATTTTCACGACTGCTGAATTTAACAAAATACATATAAATACGGAAAACATGTGCAAATCACAGATAAAACAATCAAATTGATCCACTGAAAGTTGATCCACAATGAATTATACTTGCGTAGTCCTAATATAACAGGTCTTTATGGAAACATTACTTATAAAGTCTTATAGAAAATGTCATCGTCTGCATAACAGGAGGTGATCCCGTGTAAATCGGTGTAAAACAAAGTCAGCAGTATTAGTGAACTTTGACTGTACATTTTTGCAGGACATTTGTAATTTAGGGAACTTGTGGAATGTTTTTATGCATATTAATTTCACCATTATTTATTTAAAAACCTAATTAGAATTCATATTATTTGCACTGATTTACGTCACCGACTTGATGTCTTATATTTATCCATACATAGTGTCACAACCTGAGTCATTCATCACCTAGCACAACAGAAACACCTTGCCTTGAGGAGCCATTGACCTCAGTCAGCAGTGTCTTACTGTACCATTTATTACGACTACAAACATACACACACACATCAGTGCACATACTTCATCATTCTCGCTGTCAAACCCTAACCCTGTCTCACATATATAAACCCCATATTCACAATCCTTTTTAGTGCTCTGGCGCCCACACGGACACACTGACCAGCGTTTGTCCTCCCTCCAGGTGACGATTCTGATCATCCTGGCCCTGGCCTTCCTCGCCTGCATCGTGTTCCTGGTGGTTTATAAAGCCTTCACCTATGACCACGCCTGCCCAGATGGATTCATTTATAAGGTAAGACCCATAAGTGACCTGTATTTCTTTTGAAAGCCTTACAACACACCTATTCACAGCCCAGCGACGGTCTAGAGGTTAACAGAGCAGCTGGAATGTGAAGTGGGTAGAAGATTAGCTTCCACAGGATGAGGTAAAGGTCCAATGTGCCGGATTTAGTGGCATCTAGCGGTGTAATTGCAACATCCTCAGTTCGCCCTCCCCTTCTAATTGTAAAGGAGAAACTACTAGAGCTGGTGTTGGGTTTGTCCGTTATGGGCTACTGTACATGGTGGTTAAACATGATGGATTCCATGGAAGGCATTTGTGGATAAAAATGGCTCCTTGTAAGGTAACAAAGACATGATTCCTATACTGAGGTGATTATACACTAATGACAACATAGTTATGCATATTGTATTCCATTTCTGCCAATACATACTCCTAAATGTAACACACTGGACCTTCAAGTAGGGCATAAACTAATGATTATTTTCATGATTGATAGCTAGGCTAGCCATTTCTCCCTGTTTGCAGTCTTTATGCTAAGCTAAGCTAACCCGCTGCTGGCTATGTAATGTCAGACTAATCCTCTAAGTAACTGATCAGTCAACTATTCCCTTCAGCAGTATATTTACATACTCTCCCATCCTAAGTGTCCTTGCACAAGGCACTGAATCATCTCTGTCCTTCACCATCTCCCTGTCTAGTTCCCCTTCTATCTAAATAAAGTATTAAAGGTGAGTGCACCCCCCAGTCTCCTATGGGAGAGGAAGAAAATAAGATACTCCCGCCCTACTTTTACACATTTCTGAGGTCATGTAACAGGTAGTGGCTAACAAGGCTTATCAGACCAGCAATCATCAGTGATTTTGATATGACCAGTGTAATCAAGTCTAATTTTAAGCTTTTGTTCCTTGACACGGAAGCCAAATAAAGACACTCCATTGAGGCCTCTCTCGTATGTTGCCGTGTCGACTATTAGATAAAAATTAGACTTACCACCTATTTTACAATAATTACCACATTATGACCACTAACTCCCGATCCATATGGCTGAGTCGTAAAAGAAAATGGCTCATACAGCCGCCCTTATCCAACAATCTGATGTCCAGACAGTATTAGTGTTGAATCGTTAAAGTTTTGCAGTGTGTGGATGCAGACAGCCTTCTCCTCTCCTCCCTGGTACTTATAGATTTCCACCGCACTGCACTTACAACACAAGTTTCACAGTAGTTTGTGGGAAGTCACCTTGGAAGTCTGTGTCTCTGGACAAATCTGGTCTTTTAGGTGGAATAAATCTAGTTGCATGCCCACAGCCTCTGCAGGGGCCCGGACTGCAGTCTGCAGAGGTATTATTAGAAGTGTCACATGCACGTTCACCAGGTGCAAAAGTGTCGATAGAAAAATGTGCACGCACACACAGTATGGCATGTACACTACACAACTGCACACAAGGTTGTTAATGTATACACACTCAAGCACATTCTGTTGTGCGGACTCTTAATATACTGTGTACAACCGTTATGAGCCCGCTTCCCCAGTTCCTACATAGAGTTGTACTATTAGCTTCAGTAATGTAAATGTGTTCTTCTATCGCTTCCCTAGCCACTCTATAAATCTATAAATCTATAGAATAATGATTATAGATTTGGGGCAGTTTTTTCTTCTTTTTTATGAGGAAGCAAAAGATCCTGACAAGAAACACAGTTTTCTTCTAATCAAAGCTACTCCATCATCTGAATTCCTTGTGACATTTTTGTTTTGCGTCAATTATAATGCTTAATTCATAATGCTTTCTTTCTCTGCTGCTGGAGAATGGCTTTTTTTATTTAGCTAGATAGTATTTTTTATTTAAGACAAGCAACAACACAACTCGCACCCTCAGTCTATGAAGCTAATGTTAATGTTAGCACTTTTTACTTTAAGAAATACAACATAATATTTAATCGTAATATCTTAATAAATGTTCACTCAATTGGTCAGTTTTCTATAAAACAGTTGACAATAGAGTTTGACTTTTCTCCAACTGACTGGTTTGAACCCTAAAAAGACTTTGACTAGAAGCTGCAGCTTTTAGCTGATTATAATGTAGAAACAATATAAATATGTGATGTTGCTCGGCATAGACATATCTTGTTTAAAACTACACCACAATTACAGACTTGCAATTTCAGTTAAATAAGGTTAATTAAATTGCAGTATTAGTTAAAAATGTACATTGTTTTACAGGTATTTTTCTTGAATTCTTCTTGAAAATGGTTTAGTAAATTTTATTTTGTCCGAACTTCATAACAGGTATCACCTTGAACAATGTATAAATTCACAAATGTCAACCTCACTGTTGTTTCTCCCTCACAGCACAAGCGGTGTATCCCAGCCTCTCTGGAGGCCTACTACGCTGCCCAGGACGCCAACTCGAGGGGCCGTTTCTACACAGTGATCAGCCACTACAGCATGGCGAAGCAGACCACCTCGCACTCTGTCTCCCCCTGGCTGCCTGGAGGGGCAGGGGGGCAGCAGCACGATGCTAAACCCCCGAGCAGCGAGGGCCACTGAGTTGGCTGTTAAAGGGTGTTGTAAACACATACAGACACATGCAGACATGAAGAAATACAAACACAGGCAGATGTAGATGCAGACACACATAAACATGTAGGTGAATATTTAGAAATATAGACAAAAGAGATGCACATAAACACAACAGCTACATATATATTGCCAATATAGAGTGAAAACATGCATGCAGACATAAAACCACACAAGCACATACTAGGTCATATTCTGATTTACCTTGACTGCCCATTTATGTGCTCACTCTCAAATCAAGGGGCATTTCCCATTGAACCTTTGCTCTCTTGGGATTATCATTGTCTGCTGATACACACTCACATACACAAATACATACACACTGTCTGCTCTCTCATTACCATGTTTACTCCCTTCCTCTAATTTATTATTTGACTGTCATGATATATTTTTTACTGTAATGTATGGATGATTTGTATGTGATTATCAGGCAACTCTTTGTACAAAGGCACAAGCCAGTGCTGAATTTCAAGCTTCCTGTCTGTGAGATTATCTGGAGTTTGAAGTCTTAATTTTTTTTTTCAAGTGTGTATACTGTAGTAAATGTATATTCATTCACCCTTTGCTTTCTCGCCTTTCTTGTCCAAACTGCGTAACCTCAGGCATGTCCATCAAACATCACACGCCCACACAATCACAGATCACTTCATATTCCAATCCATAAAATGTCAGTATGGTCTCGTATTGCTGTAACACATTTTTAAACATAAAATATCAGCTGTACTGTCTGAGGAAGGGTTGACGCCAGTGTGCACATCTACAAACATCCTGAGTTGATTGAATGAATTTTTCCATCATGGCTGTTTGATAGCTCATATACAGTGACATTTCAATGTGCTGTGCTATACATTTTAAATCCTGAAACCCCCCAGTGACCCAAGCTGTACATACAACTGTGCGTTCATGCTAGTTTTTTGTGTGTGTATGCATTGTAGTAGCTTTTTTAGGAGGTCCCCCCCCCCGTATTTCTTTTCTTTTTTTACAGACTTACAATTTCATGCGAGTTACTTACATATTGCTTTAGTGGCCAGTCTTGTAGCCCCATTAAAAACAATCTTGCAGATGGGAAAGGAAATACTGTGCATATCACCGTCTTTTGCCAAAACCCTTTATTTTCTGCTGTGTTTTGTTATTTGATGGGCTTCAACTGCAGCCAAGTTTTGTTCCTCTACTGTTAATTATCATTTTGTAATGTTGGATCTGTTGTCAAAAGAGCGCTTTTATGAAATATTGTGATGTTGTTAGTTGATATGTAGCGATACTTGATGTAATTTATCAGTGTGCATCCTTGTCCCTCCTCTCTTGGTTTGAATTCAAAATAAAACAAGCTGTGACCTGTGCTGAGTGTGTCTGTCAGTCCTGCTTACCGCCATGTCTCTTTAGCGCTCACACAGCGTCTAATGCATCCCCAAGGCTGTTTAGTGTGAATGACAGTGACGGCTTTTCATACAGCACGTCATATTATTCAGATGTTCATACTCCCACTCAAATTCATCTTACATTAGTTGTGTATTCTGCTGTCTGTATAAAGAACTTTCCAGAGCTGTGTGTGGCCTGTAATGATGAGCACCTATGATTGACAGCAAAAAAAGTACCAGAAGAACACCTGTATCTGTAATTCCTACTGGATATATTATTCATCTAGAGTCCTCTGTGAATGGCAGATAAGGCCTCTGTTTTTCTTATGTGCAGCACTAATAACAGTGGTGAGTGACAAGAATAGCTGGCTTTCCTAATTAGAGGTTTGTATTCTAATGAATCTGTCAGCTGTCTCTGTTTTTTCACTACTGAGGGTTAGTGATAGAGTGACACACCCGCTTAATGCTTTCAGAGAAAGAAAGAAGAAAACAAGGCGAAAAAGACAAATAAACGTATATATAAACATAAACACATATACAGTAAGACTAAAATAAATGCAAATCCATGTAATTTATATCTCTAAGAAATAGTAGCAACAATAATACTTGGACTATTTCAGTAATAGATGATACTTTACTGCTCTGTTGTTCAACCCTTGTAATACTTTTATGTCACCTTGTGTAAAAACCAAAGTATCTCCAAAAGGCTAACTTGTAAAACTTCCTGTAAAACTAAATGTTTTCACATTTAGACTGAAGAAACAGATTCTTCAGCAACTGGGGCCATTATTTGTTCTTTTCCTTATGTTTCTCCAGAATAACCCTTTAATAGCTTCTCTTCTTTTCCTCCTAGAATGTCCTGCTTTTTTCTATCTAAATATTAACCTTGTGCTCATGTGCCTCTTGCTGCTTGGGTAAAATATTGACAAAATTCTATTTCATGTCATTTTATATAACAATCAATATACATTGTCATAAAATATTAATTTCCTGGAAAATCTAATGAGAATGAGACAGAAATGCCTGTTTTGGGGCAAATCCCGCAATTGAAAAATGATAGTAGTCATCCCAATGATGCAACAATGTCCTGATTTGATATTTGCATTTATGAGAATTGTCCATAATGGACTACACCTATTGATGTTTACAAATGTACAGCCACCTGATGTCAATTACTTCACCCAAGGGTATTCAAAAAGCATATGTCACTGGGTCTTTGAGGAGAATAGAAAATGGTTCAATATACAGGAAAGTATAAAAATAGGAAAAATGTGTGTGTTCCTTCAAACAAACCAATAAAGAAACCTGAATTCACACAATCAGCATGTGTTGTTTGTGTTGCATCTGTCTGGAAGATGAATAAAACCAAGTTTAGGAACAGTTTCTTTCTGACTGAAATAAAAATAGTGAATGTGATCTTTTGCACATATGTTGCTATTCACTCCAAAAAATGCAAATGTAAGACAGCCTAACTAAAAGTGACACAATTACACTCACAGCTCAGAGTTGAGCAGGTATACTGTTTAGTATAATATAATAACATTAGCACTAAATACAATCTACAGCTAAGGCTAATAGGAATGTCAACCACATGAAAACCAAGGTATCGGACATTAAAATTCTGACTTGATACAGCACTAGATGGGAAGTTAAAGGAGTTTAAAGGAGTTGTTACGGTTCATGCTAGGAGAACCTGAATGTGTGGACCAGATTTCTTCGCAATCCATCTAGTGTTAAGTCTCTCATTTTATTCTGGACCAAGGTGGTGGACCGACTGACAGACTATCATTACAATCAGTCATTACCAACCCTTTTGCCACGCCACTAAGGTGGCTAAAACTGGCCATTTAAATCAAACTCACACAATGTCATTGTCAGAAACAGGATGTGGACATTCAGTCCTTCACTGGAAATGAGCAGGGCTGTTGGGCATAGTTTATTTTAAGTATTAAATGGTTGCCAAACTGTTGCAAAGAAAACAAACTCATAACTGATAATTTGTTCGGGGAACTTAAATGTTGACAACTGATCAAAAAAAAAGTTTTCTTCGTGGTGTTTTCTGTTTTCTTTACTCCCACATATAAACACAACAAAACGAAATGACTCTGTACAAACTGGACAGATGGTTGGTTAGGCAGTGCTTACACAGAGTTAACACAACGCTGACATGTTGTGAATTAAGGGGTCAGGTGCAGAGAAACAGCTGGTGACTTCATATGGACAAGAGAAGGTACATGGTTGTCTGTTTCATTTAAAGGTTGCCAAGAAAAATGACCATGGTATAAAGTGAGAATAAATTAGTTAAAAGTATGCGTAAAGATATAAGAAAAAGGACAGAAAACCTCACTTGCAAATGTTCATCCAGTTTTGACACTGTTACAAGATAATGACCTATGTATGAGTTCTAAAGCTCATGGATATTTTTTAGAACTGCTTAATGTAAAGATCCATTTCATCTCTTCCCACTGCAGAAGTGTACAATCTTCACCAAGCTTATTAGACCATTCATTTAAAAGACCTTATGGCCCTGATTACTTACTAGGGACAATTGGCAATCAGATATGGGATGAACTGTGGCTTAATCCTCTCTCTGGCTCTCTAATTATAACAGCAAATAGCTTGCAGTGGTATAATTCATGATAAATTCCTGCCGGTGCAGGATATTAGATATTGATGTGAAGAAGAACTGATTGTTGCAGACAGGTCATTGGTGCTTTCTCAAAGTAAAGAGGGATGTTAGAAGAAGGGGGGTGGAGAGAAAGAAGAAAGGCTCTGTGGTGATTGGCACAGAGGGAAATTAAGCCTGACATCTGGAAATGAACAGCAATATATATGTCCATCCTGTTGTCTCCCAACACAGGAAAAGATACGATGGGCTTGAAACTTCCCTGATGATTTGGAGGTGCTGTATTTGTATCCACTACAGAATAGTAACAGTTGCCTCTCTGTTTGCCTCATATTTATTTTTTGGTTTTGTATTCAGAGCGTCTCACCCTCCCAGGCCTCATGTAAGTTTTTCTCTTAGTTTACATTTTGTCTTCTTTGTTTCATATGCAAGCCCCCTGTCTCTGCCTGCCTGTCTGTCTCTTTCTTTCTTTCACACTCTCTATTTCAACAGGCACTTCATTGCTGTCATCTCCCATCTCCCTCAGCTCTCAGCTACTAAGGATGGGCAGCACTGTTTTGATTTTTAGAATTGGTGAAATGAAAAACTTGCTCTCATTTGAAACAACTGTAACCACTGGAGTGAAATATTTCTCCTGCCGAAGGCTTTCAAAAGCTGGCTTTCATTAAAATGGTTGGAATCAAAGTATGTGTTTAATGCCTATTCTTTTGCTTTGGGCAGAGACTTGTTGTCTGTTTCTTCTGAACACATGAGGTGTCAATATCCAGCAGACCGATGTAAGGCTGCCACTACCATAGGAGGAAACATGAGTTTATAATCCCAGCTTCCTGTTTGTTCTTCATGCATGCCCGGTTGTAAACCTTTAAAATTAAACTGTCAATTTGTCCAGCAATTCAAAAGAGGCATGGTTTCACACTTGGTAGTTATTGTAGCCCTGTAGACAGGGTTAAGAGTGGGGACATCATAGACCTAAAAAGCCAGCTATTAAAAAGTGACTGCAACAAAAATGACAGCAAGCATGGATGAGATCAACAACTCTCTGGCTGTTGTAAGCTGACTGAAATAAATAAATAAAAGTAAACCGCTCCAGCAACTGCTACCACAGCTTCTGTGTCTAATTAAAATGTAATTGATGGGGCAGTTGAAACACTTGTTGCTGTTTACTTAGGGCAAAACACAATAACCATAATATTCAAACAAAGGTCATTGAACATAAACACACTGTGAAGCTAAATAAATAATGGTGTCTTGTGGTATACCCCATGGTTTCATTTTGGGCCCGATTTTATTTGCAGTATTTATGTTCCTAAAATAAAACATCCTTCCTTCTCTGATGACACAGAGTAGTTTGATCTTCCCCATCTATCGCCATTTTTTAAATCCTTAAGACCCATATTTTTGTCATGTCATGTATTTCTTCTAATTATTCATTTGAATGTAGAAATATTTTTTGGGCTTTATTGGAGAGGAAAGGCAGGAAAGGAGGGAAAAGAGGACAGGAAAAGAGTGAAAATATGCAACAAAGGGCCTTAGGCTGGAGCTGAACCCAGCCGTGACTGTAAGGACTCAGCTTTATGCATTGGGGTGCGCACTTTACAGGTGAGTTATTGGGGCGACCTAACTGATACTTGGCAAAATTAAAAACTGAACAGAAAATTAAATGAAAATACTATAAGGCTTTGTGTCTTTCATCCATTCTGTCTCCCTTGTCCTATACACCCACACATAGACATGCACACACGTATTGAAATTCACATGCAAAACATACACACATATGGCCATCTGTGTAATTTGTGCTCTACACCTCCATTTCTCCCCTCAGCCATCTCCCCTGCTGGCAGAGAAAGGCTGCTTCTCAGCAGTTGGCCCTCGGAGATGTGGAGGAGGAAAAGAGAATGAAAGAAGGAAAGAAATAGCAGAGGAGGTGGACAGACCTGGGGGGATTTACAAGAAGAGCAGCGGAGTCAGGTAAACGGTGGGAAGCCAGGCAGACTTGCACAATGGCACATTGATTTGTCCCTTTTTGTGTGCAGTTTTCCTGTCAATACATAGGCCTACATGATAAAATTATTTGTTGTGAGCAGAAAGGGCAGAATTTGCCACGATCATTGAAATTCGATTTCAGCTTTGTTAAACTTTGACACACAAATTGTGCAGTTGACCAATAGCAAGCCGTCATGACAGTGCTGACCTTTGAGGGAATGGAGAGAGAGTCCAAAATAGAAGAAGCCTTCATAGCTAATCAGCTGTTTCATACAATTAGCTTTAATTTAATCCTTCTTTGTTGGAGTATATAAACAGCTCCATAAAAGAGGAATGGTTTGCTTTAAGGGACAAAAGATACAAAT